CATTATCCAGTTGGGTAATTGTAAAAGCCGTTTGGGAAGAAGGACTCTAAATGATTGGAGAAGGCCTGACAGCTCTGGGGAGTCAAAAACTTTCCGATGTTTAGAATAAAGAAAAGCAGTCAATAAATATGACTTATATAAAGTATCGGTAGATGAAGCTGGACACAAGTAAAAAAAAACAGGTAAAAAAAAATAGATATGGTGGGCACGTTTGGGTGAAATGGGTCCAATTTCTTTGTGAGACACCACTGACTATAAATGTGCCATTTCCATTGATAAATGGCCATTGTGGGTCTACAGATAGATTGAGGCACATACAAGGCAACTTTAGAAATTAAACCCTGTTGCCATGAAAAAGACTGCATAACTTCCATACATGAAAATTGAACTTGGGAAAGTTTGGGTGTAGAATGTTGGATCAAGGTTGCCACAATAGGAGAGTGTCAAAGAGGAAGAGGCAGAGGTGGACCCTCTTTAAGATACTGTAGAAGATGAAACCATGGTTGGGCTGGCAATCTGGGGCTAACAACAGCTCTCAAGTAGAGGGTTGAATCATAGCCAGAACTCTGGGTGACAAATGAATTGGAGGAAAGGCACAGAAGTGTAATTTCATCTAATCTTGACTGAATGCATCTATTGCCAAAGCCCAAGGATGAGATACTGGGGTACCAAAAATGCCTGTAGTTCAGAGTTTCAATCAGTGGCAATTGTATCAATCATCAGAGTCCCAAATTGAGAGCAAATCCACCAAAAAAACCTTATGATGGAGCATACCTTCGGTTGAGAGAATTCAACTGGGGTGAGATGGGTGATCTGCTTTTAAATTCATCACCCCTGGAACATGACAAGCCAGGGGGCTGATATGACGGGAGTGAGCCCAGTAGAGAATATCCAAAGTTTAAAAACAAAGGTTCCGAGAATGCGTGCCCCATGACAGGAAATATAAGAGTCCACTGTGGAATTGAGGGAATGAACAGATCGACATCATGAAGGTCTAACATATGGCTGTGAAAGGAAGATCTGTCTTCCATCCATAAACTTTGGAATTCCTGACCTTCGATATATGCACCCAATCCTTGCGTGAGACATCTGTGAAGGTATGAAAATTGGGACGAGGGGACAGTATAGCAACACTGATGGTAGTGTTGAACCGATCCAATCCATACAGCAAAATATATACATAACAGAAAACATGTGTAATAAAACAATAAAGGTTTACTTTTTACATTAATTTAGGAAGTTCTAGAGGTTATGCAAATGAGATATGAAACTTTAAAATGAAAATAAGTAATTTTATCATCATAAAATTTACCATTCAAGCAGACTGACTGAGTAAATTCTCAGAAAAATCTTTAGTAGAAATACTTTTTTAAAAAATCTAATTTTTTGTGTACAATATACTTTCAAGTTTACTAAAAGACTTCCCAATTTCGTGAAGATACAAGAAGTAAAATTCAGAATTATAGTAATCATTAATTCTTCACCAGGTGTACTGTATATATGGTTAAAACTACTGCTGAAAACCAAAATACTCAAATGGGAATCAAACTTAAAACAATAGGATGAATAAACTAGAGGAAAGAGCTCTTCAGAGATTAATTCAAATTTAAATTAATTGACAGCAATTAATGACAGTTTGTTCAATGGTAGAGAAGAATGGTATTATAGTCATTGTACATCTACAATGAAGCATGCTGGGAGACCAATAAAAGTGTTGGATGCATGTCAATCAATAGTACTGGAGATCTACACAAAATTGATGGCAGCATGACTGCTCACAGGAACAATCAAATTCTAAATCTACCATTTTAATCCCTCAGGAACAAGACCCATTTGGCAGGGATTCACCTATCAGAAAGACAGGAATTTCAAGTATGTAGCAAGTGTGGTGAAATTATACATGCAAGAAAAAACTAAGAATGCTGGAATACTCGCAAGTATGACTTGACCTGCACAAAGTCCCAGGATAAATATTATTAAGGCTATATGGGCTTATATGGAAGCTAAAAACATGAAATAGCATCCAAAAAACTTGAGTAAATTGTGGGAAGTAATGAAGGACATCTGAAACAATATTTCACAGTCATATGTTTATAAACTCATGGTAGAACAAAAACAAGGTGTACTGTTCTGTATAAAGTAAATACACAATACCAGTGGACTGTACAACTTGTATGCTTTCTTGTATTTGTAATAATCATTGTTTGTGACTCATGTATGTGTATTACCTATGTATTTCCATGATTGTTGCCAATACTGTATGTTTAATTAGTATATCAATTATTGATTATAAACAACCAGTCAGTCACTATGTCACCTAATTTTTTTTTTCCAACAGAAACTTATTGAAGAAACAAAAAAATCAAAATTCCATGCAACATACTTTAAAACAACAAAAAGACAACTCATGATTTAGTAATTCTAATAATGCAGTTTTGAAATACTTAAAAAAAAAACAGTATAATTTACAAACCATTTTCTGCAGACAACAGTGCATCTTTCACTTGCTGCCTTTGAACTGAAGGATTAATTCCTGTGAAATTTATCCTCCCTTCTTCTTCATCTTCACTTTGATCATTATCATCATCTCTAGTTTAAAAAGTATAAAAATAAAAAGAAGCTCTAATTATGAATACTTATTTTATAGAAATAGTTAAAATTTTATTAGACTGAAAACAAACTCAATAAACTTGTCCCCCAAACTGATACAAAATCAGATATTACCCAGAGATCAATAGAGTATGTAGCAAAAACGGATTGTTACATAATATTACATAAAAATATTTGCTTTCACATAAAAAGATAATAAAACAAGCATTGAAATTCAAAAACTTCTGATCTGAACTCTTCCTGGACCAACAAGCTGTTACTGATAGGTCCTAATCTTTTCATTCTCACACCGAAAATAATTAATAAAACTTCATGAAACTTAGTACATGCTTTCTACATAGTATGTAGTTTTTGCATGAAAAAAGAAAAAAAAAATCATATATTTTGATATTTTACTTTAAGCAATTTTAGGCTGTAAAATCTCCACAATTTTGTTGTAACATATGTTTTGAAAAACAATAAAAAAATACTTGCTGTCATCTTATATTTTGTGTTTCTTATCATTAATCAGCAAATTCCATCTTGTATATCAAAGAGAAATTTCAAGTGAAAGTTGTTATGCAAGACAGCACTCCATCCTATTCAGTACAAAATGTGAAGACACAAATGGGACACATTTTTTGAGGACCAAGTAGTCAACAAATATTCTCCAAATACATGATCAGCATGAGCTCCATATTTCACTACTTCTAATTTTGATTGTGGAAGCAATCTCAACTCACTGGTTTTAAGTTCATAATTTTATAAGGCAATATAAAAAAAAATCCTGAATTCCCGTAGTGTGAGAAATGTGATATTTTTTCTCTCGGCATCCCCCCTTCTCTAATTAATTTACCACCCTTCCAAGAAGTATAAAATTTAAGTAAATTAGTCACTACAATGTTGTCATCACTCAGGCAAAGCATAATTTTCATAGCTTTCAATTTTGTTTGGTTACAGAGCCACTAAATAGAAAATTAGACCCCTCTTGTCACATCCTCTCTTTCAGGATTTGTCAATAGTTCTCGCTTATGTTTAATATTATATTATCTATAACCAACAGAAAGACAAAGTTTTCATCTATCAACTGATGTATTATATTACATTATTTTCTGTACAGGAAAATGTTAATTTCTCTTGCAGTACAAGTTTAATTCCCACAGATTGTCTGCTTTTTGCATTTGATATTCTATGTTCTTTGGTGCATTATTTAATTAAATAAAAATTATTTTGTGCATTACTACCATTAATATATAAAAAAAAGGGAGAAGAAGAAGAAGGCCCAGGTAAGTACTTTATTTCTTGTTTTTTCATGTGTATTCTTTATTTATTACAATAAAAGTAATTAAAATGTAAAAACAGGAAACCTTTTAGGTTAGTTAAGGTTAGATTAGATAAATAAAAATATAATAACAATTTTTCATGAGGCACGCACACAAGCAGCTCATGGGTAATGTAAATCAATAGCTAATGTAAACCACACATTCCCCAAGTGATTTACAACTTGGTGGAATATTAATTATATATAGTTCAAAAGGCAACAAAACCTAAGTATAAATGTATATTTATGAGTTTAAAGCTACATAGGATAAATAAATGTAGCCTCACGTTACAATTTGAAGTCATTCTAGAAAGAAAAAGGGGTAATTTAGATTTATTTAACATTTTTCGTTTAGTGGTTATGAGCCCATACTGAGTTAAACACTATTGACATGTAAATTACCCCTCCCCTCACAAAAGTGATGACTTTGGGCACTGCAATTGTTGTTACCATCACCTTATTAATTCATCTAATGAATATTACAGCTCTTTGATGATTAGTCATCAATTTATGAATTTCCAGTAGTTCAATTACCTTTTAAACACCCCTGTATCTATTTATTTATTGAATTAGAGTAACTTAAATTGAATATAAAGAACCAATTCTTGTATTTAACTTCAAAACTAAGTATCATTCTGAAGCAATATTTAGTCAATCACTCATATAATCAATAGTCAATTATCATATAATCAGTTATTTATGAAAATTTACATTTCACTCTAAACTAGATCATGATCTCATTTCAAATCAAATCAAAATTTTCATAAAATACTTAGCAATAAAGTCAAATGAAATAAAATGTCATTTCTCATATTACCTTGTTTCACTAAAAATATGCTAAGAGCTGTTTTTCTGACTAAAATGAAATTTAAACTAGACTTCAAGTTATAATACAACATATTTCATGAGATATTCAGGTTTAACTTAATATATGTTGCCATCATTTGGCAGAAAATCTATTACAAACCTAATCAGTCTTGACTTGCTCTCATTATCATCAACTGGTATAAAATCACCCATTTCTCTTGCTAACTGACGCTGCTTCTTCAGAGCAAAAATTGTTGCAGCATCAGGTATATTTCCACCTATTAAAAACAACATTATGATCTTATTAAAGAATATAAAAATACTTCTTCACTACATAGTTTTAGCAACTATTAAGATATCTTCCTATATAGTCAATTATATAGGTATTATTATTGCTTGAAGTGAGATAGTTTGTGATATTTTTGAAGCAGAGTACTGTGTTTCTTGTTTTTTTATGTATATTCTTTATATAATACTATACAAGCATACTATAAATATAATACTATAAAAGTTACAGCAAAGAAACTCTGATAGTTACTTTGTGGTTATGAACTTGGTCACACAGATCCAGCCTGTAGCAAGAGGGTTCTTTCAATCCATAACAATATCATTCCTGCCTCACTCTTACACAACATTTTAAGAAAAAATATAGCTTCTCTCACCAGTCTATTGTCTTTGTAAATATGTATTGCATTGCCTAGTGAAACTTTCCCTTCTGAGAAGCTTACTGTCTATTATACTAAAAGGTAGCTGAATGGTTTTGGGCCCTCCTGAAAAGAAGTGGTATGACATCCTGCCCCACTTCAAGCACTGAGCATTATTTAAGATGTATCACAAGCATAAAAATTAGTTACATAAACAAATAGCCATAGTGGTCAGTTTACAGTTTATTAACTTTACTTAAAATATATCATTCATATACAAAACCTAAGACATTTCTATAAGTCTGAGGTATCTTTAATGATTCACCAGTTAAATTCAGCATCACCTTTCACTGAAACATTTCACTTTGTTAGGTACAGTCATCATTAGAAAAAAAGGTTAATTTTTCTAATTAGCATTTATAAAATCCCATAAAAGTCATTTACATGTTGAAGCACATATGTTTTCAGTCTGAAGAAAACAATTATTCAAAATAGCAAAGCCTTTTATTGCAAGGAAGTTTAAGTATAAAGAGATAATGATCCATAATAATTTTGCTAAACTGTCTAAAAAAACTATATGGTATATCATAAACATGCCATCTAAAAGAAACAGAAAAAACAATATCAGATGTTGCTAAATAATAGAGTACTTTGAAAGTGTATTACTTCTTACAGCATACTAAAATACAAAAGATATCCCTTGATTCTGATATGTAGATGATACATTTTCTGTTGGGCCAAACAAAAGAAATGATTTTCAAGCCTTTCTAAAGAAAATGAACAATCATCACAGTACTATTAAGTTAAAAGTGGATTGGGAAACCAGTATTTCAATAACATTCACATAATTAGAACAGAAACATGATCTATTCTTTTTAACTATACAAACACAAGAAAACCTTTATGTTCAACTTTTTCTTGTGCCACCACAAAAATGTTTTTAAGAGCTTGTAAAATATGTTACTATATGATTTTTGAAGAAGAAATCAAAACATATTTATACTATTTTCAAACTATTACAGCATCTTTTAGGTTTTTTAATCAAAAATTTATAACAAAAGGTAAGTAAGATATTTCTTTTAGTAATCAGTTACTCATAAGCAGCAACATTTACATGTGAAAATAAAGCTAAATTACTTAGTATCAACTAGTTTTAGTATTGCATCTTTAAAGTAATATCTGAAAAATAATTTTAAAATTGTTTATAAATATCCCAACACCATTAAAAATTTCTTATTCTCTAACAAGTCTACAACATATCAAGATAAAAAAATGATGTTAATCCTATGAGAAAGTTTATGTTGATGAAATGGGAAAAAATTTAGTTACAAAATTTGCAGAAAATAAGAAAGGATGTTAAATATGGTTAAATACAAATATATTTTTTTAACCATGAGGAATTTTCATCATTAAATCAACTAGAAACCAGCCAAAATATGACAAAAAAACAAGCAATTTTCTTGAAAGAATTGTGGTAAGTTTGCTAATCAAAAGACTGCCAAACTTTAACAATTATGAAGGTAACTTAAGCTGAACTCCTTTCTGACATCGTGCACCCTGAAGCAACTTGAACATCCACTAGAAAATAAGTTGTGTGTGTATTTTGTTCAAAAACAAAAGTTGGACTGAAGAGGATAAATGAAAATGTTAGTGGGGAGATAGGATGAAAGCCTGCTTATTGGCTTATGCCTACATTATATATGTGTGTGCTTCATTGAAAGAATATGGATAAGCATGAAGTATCTTGACAATCTAATTGGCTTATATCAAAAAGGTGACTAAAATTTCATCATGGGGGAAAACAAAATGCAAAGTCAAAACTTTGAAGGCTTAGTTTAAAGGCACTTTGCTGGTTGCATGACCTCTCTATAGTAAAAACAAATTTTATTAAGACCAATCATACTCTGATGGTGAGTACTGCTATCATATGCAGAGCAGAACACTTCAACACACCTATTGATTTCACTGATCTAAAAATGCATCTTGCAATCTAATATAAAAAATGTATTTAACAGACTAGCCTTTTAAATTATTAAAGAGGTTAATTAAAATACCAAAAAAAAAAGTATTCAGCAGTGTGGATTTTAAAAACAAAAGTTCACAATTTGCAAAAAATTTCAAAACAATTAAGTGAGATTAATGTTCACAATACATTATTATGTTAACATGGCATTCACATACACATAACAAGATTTAGCATTCTGGAATTATCAAACCCAAATAACATAAAAACAAGTTCAAGAGAAGACTAAGGTTAACTACTACTTTTTTAGTAGAGTACTTGAATATATTTTTGTAATTCAGGATTGAGTTTTATACTTCTCATAGAAATTGTTTTTTTCTTATTAGAAAACTCACAGGAGAGAAGGTTCTGTAAAGAATGTAACTGTTTTTTGGCTTCTTGTTTTTCTTCACTGTCTGACTCTTCATCTATTTCTTCAGCTTCCTTTCCTGAAACAATTTCCATTGGTTCTTCCTACAAGACAATTTTAAAGAAATTATAAACCTCACTTGATTTTGTAGCAAGAATTAATAATTTTACAGTGCTGTTTACTTTGGAGAGATATGACAAGTTAAGGCATAAGTTAACCATGTCACAGATAAGTGCTATATTTCTTGTTTTTCACTTGTATTCTTTATTTACTATTAACTAAAATGTAAAAATAGGAAACTCTTCAGGTTAATTAAGGTAAGATTAGGTAAAACAAATAATAATATGATAAAAATTTTCACAAGGCATGCACATGAGCAGTTTGGAGTAACTGGTGGGTAATGTAATTCAATAGCGTAATGCGAGCTGAATATTCCCTGAATGATTTACAACTTATAATGGCACAAATAGTAGTTATACATGGTTCAAAGGGCAATAAAACAATAAAATTTAAGTATAAAAAGATGTAAAATGTTATGAGTTAAAGCTTCTTAGGTTAAACAAATGTAGTTTCATGTTACAAATTGAAGTCATTCTAGAAAGAAAAAGGGTAATTTAAATTTTCTTAGATTATTTTTTTTTGGTGGTTATGAGGTTGATCAAATTGACCAACCTTGTATAGAGTTATGGTAGAGAAAATAACAGATGAAATATAAATTTTTACTGCAAGAAAATGTATGAGAAGTATTTAGGAGGTTTTAGAGACTAAGCAAATGAAATTTTTGGTATTTCAGATGAAAAAAAGTATTTTTAATCTTAACATAAAAATCACTTTGCACTTGGACTGGTAATAAAAATAAAATAAAGGCTTGATATATTTGCGAACAATCTTTAGTAAAAATACTTCATTAAATAGTCTGATTTTTTGTATATAAAAGACTTGTAATGTTTTCTAAATACTATATTAAAAGTTAGTAGTATCAAATCTATAACAAGCACAAAGTAGTCATGTGGTTGGTCAAATCGACTGAGCCTGTATTTTTAATAAAGATTTATCCATGAATAAATAGAATCAGTGTTGACAGCTCCAAGTGCAAAGTGATTTTCATGTTAAGATTAAAAATTTTATGTTACACATATGCATACGAGTTCAGTTGAATGTTACATGTTTTTCAACATTGTTTTTTTTTCTCCACCCAAACATTATTTACTGAGCCAGGTGGCTTTGTGCCTGAGGTTTAGTGTAAACAAGCATTGAGTACAAAGGCAGCTGCTCAGAACAACATCACATCTATTATGTATTTATGATCATGTAAATCAATTTTTGGTGAAAAATAATCAACTTTTAAACAGATTATGGATATTCACAGCATTTCATATTGTATATCTGTCTAGGTTTTGGTGCAAAATACCCAGCCAATTTTGCTGTAGGCTAGTGAAACAATAATATGAACAAATGGGTAAATTTTGATTTTTTTCTAATAATTGTGAATAATTTGCTTATTATCAATGTTTGGGTGGTCTCGGCTATTGAAAAGGAAGGTTTTGAGTGTTGTTTCAAGAAGACTGCTTTTTTAAGGTTGTTCTTGCCCTAATATTATATCAAAGCCAATTCTTGTGCAATCCCTATTACCTTGGTTCATAATATTTTAACCCAAATATATGATTTTTCTCAATTAAAACACTTCAAAATTCATATACTTTTACAAATAAAACCTATTGATAGTTTACCATATTTATTGAAAATACTAATTAGTAGGGTAAAACTTGTTTTTTTTTACCTTTCGATTGTCTTTATCATCCATCTGATCCACTGTTTTATCACCCTCTTCCAAAGTAGGAACATCAAGCTTTTCATCTTTTTCTTGGCGTTTCTTTTTCTCTTTTGCCTGTTGTTTGGCTAACCTTCGACTGTAATGGGACTTCTTTACTTTGAAAACTTCCACTTCTGAAATGAAACATCAATAACAATTTTTAAGATAGTCATATAAAACTGCATATAGATTTCTATGTCATTATACACTTTTGAACATTATCTAGAAAAGAAAGAACTGTCTTGTTAAATATTTCATTAACAGTCCATGATTTTGTGATAAAAAAATCAATTTTATTGAATAGTTAAGTTTAAAATTACATTATACATAAAAACCATATCACTAAACCAGTTACCATGTATTCATACATATAATTTCAATTTTCATGAACACATCATTTGGACATTTTTTCCTTATTTTTTGACAACAATGAAATATTTAATGCAAAACCTCTGACAAACATAAATTATAGTTATCTATTTTAAAACTTGGTCAGCTGGTATGATAACATGATAATACAGATTTCTAGCTTTTGCATTTTCTGTATCTAGAATCTAAAAAGATTTTGAAAAAATTAATACAGTGTCAGTCCATTCAGTTAATAGACAAGCTCACATTTCTAGCTTTTTCTTCCACAATTCAAACAGTCCACATATAGATAAATTGTCCAAGCCTCTTACCAATTTATTCCTAGGAAAGTTAACATTTCCTTAAACTGCAAATGTATTTCTGATAAATATTTACCTCTTCTCACAAAAACTTATACTGCCCTCTATTGGCACAAATCTTTGCTTGCCACTAGCCTTGATACTCCCACTTATATCTGCATCTAACATGCAAATGATTATGCAGCAACCCTCCATCAATAAGATAGTGACACTACCCCTATCATAACTAGTGCCCTCTCTCATCTTGCAGTTGTTAACCACTTCTATATTGGTCAGATCACACCAAACCACACTGGAAGTGGAAAGAACAGGTGAGAAATGAGAGAGAATGTAAATATATATACCAGAAATACATTTTCAGTTTAAGAAAATGTTAACTTCCCATACAATATCTTACCTCTTCTAACTAAAAACTACAAACACACATTGAACAGATTGGGGGGAGGGGGGTCTGTGAGAAGATGATCTCCCTTGATGAAGTGTCTAAAGGAAAACCATGGGGTGTGAGAAGGAACTAAAACCAAAACACCCGTGGGAGACCACAGCACTTCTGAGGCAGGTATACTCTTTGTCCATTAGTAATGTGTCACTAAAAGGGCAGAAACAAAGGAGAGACCCCAAGAAAAGGTACAGAAATAACGGACCCCCCCTACCCCAAAATGTAGAATGGCTAGGGGACGACAGACAATAAAGGGGAGTTCAACCTCAACCAACACCTGGCAGCATCTGCCATTGTACATCAGTTCTGTGGTAGGAAAAGGGTCCTCTGCTTTTCACCTCAAGAATGGGTAGCGACAGCAGGGAAGAGGAGCTTCCATACCAAGAACCTGTCTCCACAGGCATGCACATCCAACACCAGATCCATCAGGAACCAACATACAGCAGACAGTAGGATGTTTGGAGGCCCAGATGGGTGTTCATCTTCAGTCCAGAACCTGGAAGCATTGGAAATTTTTCATCCAGTTCGCAGTAGAAAGAGGGTAACCAACCTTACACCTGTAGGAATTCATATGTCTCATCTAGCTACAACCAACACCAGATCTACCGGGAACCGATATCCAGTGGAAGGTAAGAAGAGGAATGGCTATATGATGTGCATCTCCAGACCAAAAGCTGGTGGCGTTGGGAATTTGTCAACTAGTCCACAGTAGGAGGAGGATAACCATCCAAACACATGTGAAGACTTGTGTGGCTGATCCGGCTCCAACCAACACTTGATCACTGAGAACCAACATCTGGTGGACAGTAGGAAGGAAGGTGCCTCACTTGGAGGGGCAAACTACAATATATGGCAGAGTGCAACATCCAACACCTGGTAGCATCTGGAATTCTACATCAGGTCCGTGGTAGGAATGGCATCAAGCCATCTACACCAGCAGAATGCCACCGCCCTACTCTCAACTGAGTGTTATTGTGCATGCTCAGGAGGAAAGACCTCTATGGTCCACCACCCCAGCAAATAGAAACTGGTAAGTGGCAAGAACTCCCATACTCCATTAGAAGAAGATGTGAAATATCTGTTGGAGAGACTGGAGGACTGCAACACACCAGAGACAGTGCAATGGTGACCACAATATCCTATTTTGGAAAGCAGAGCAATAACATTGTCAGAGTCAACCAACCAACACCTGGCAGCATCTGGAAATGTACATGAGGTACATGGTAGGAAGAGCCTCAAAGATCATCAGAGATGGGCAGTAATCCCTGTCTGCTATACTCATGTTAGTCCATGAGTGTACGGTCCAAGATGAACATATTTATGAAGCAAAAGACTGTGAGGTATACTTACGAGTGGTCCTGCAGAACACCCCATCTCAATGGTGGGCATAATACAACCTGGATATGTGTTATGACGTTATATTTTGGAAGCATAGGGAACTTGTTGACAGAGTCAATTAACCAACACCTGGCAGTATCTGGAATTGTACTTCAGGTCCATGATAGGAAGAGCCTTAATGTCAGTCATCTAGCATGGTATATGATCACAGGTCATACATTGTGGATTTAAGACTAAGTATACCTGGTCATGCAACACTTGCCACAGAGTGGGACCCAAATATGCAATAAAGGCCCTGGCAAAAAAAGTGAATGAAGTACTTACCACCTACAGATAAACTGTTGCAGCACTGATGATGTCCCCCAAGGGAATCATGGAAATGTGTAGCCAGGAACATGGTAAGGTGATCGATCTGATGGGGTGAAAACATGAAAAAGGTGAGAATCATCAGGAGAAAAGAAAGAAAAATGCCAGACAAATTAACTGGTGATTTCAACAAGGGTAATGGGAAGAAGTTCACAGGAGAGATGAGGGTCTCACAGAAGAAATATATGGACTTAGTAGCCATGGAAGGGAGCAGTTCGTGTCATATACCATTGGAGACCCCTGACCGGGCAAAGGAGACGGGTGGGATTGGAATGGTCATAAAGGTGAGAAAAGGAGAGAAGGAAAAAGTTGTCAAGGTAGAAGTACCCTCTCAAGCTGCTGAAGTCTTGGACAAAAAGGAACTATCAGGAAAGAGAAGAACATAGGAACTAAGGAAACAAAAATGTGGCAAACGCATCAGAATGACAATGTTCACATGCCAATGAACAGGAACCTCAAGGTAAGGTGATTTAAAGACCATGAAGACAAGAGGTTCAATGAAGGATGGGAAAAAGCATGGAGGACCACATAGCGGTACTAATAAGGAAGGAAAACAGGGCAGGGAGAATGGAAAAATGGAAGGAGAAAAACAGTGTGGATGAGACTGACAACTGTAAAACACAAGCAAAGTTAGTAAATGAAATGTGTTAGATAATGTCACCCTATAGCCCACAACAGAGGAAAGCGAAAGACTCCATTCAAAAAGCCAAGGCAAAAACAATGGTATGTGAGGAACAACAGTATGGGAAGGATGATAACTCATTAGGACAGACCAAAAGTGGTACATGTACCATGTATATTTATAAACAGCAACTGAGGAAGGATGAACAGGATGGGAAACAAAGTAAGCTATATGTGAACGTCCAGCCCTTCAGATTATGACTGGACAAAGCCACACATGAAGATGGAGTTGAGGTACATACATATGACACACACCAGAGTGTGACTTGTGAAGAAGTGTCAGAGATAGAGGAAGAGAAAAAGGAAGGCAACAAAGAAAAACCAGCACAGCAGTGGAAACAACATGTTACCTGGCCATTACACAGCCACCAGCAGAACACTACTCGAAGTGGTCTGAAGTATGGCAAGGACACGTGGTAGGAGATGAATAGGAGGATATGCATATAGGTACCAACCCAACCAATCCAGGCAGAGAGTATCAACTGCTCCTGCCGGAGGATGAGGAACAGGAGATCAAAATTTGGAAGTGGTATATTGAGAAGATTGGCAAAAGCATCTAACTCTGAGACACCCCACAAAGCACACAAAACCCCAAAAATTAACAGGTAGATCTGAAGACTACTCTGCAGTGAGAATCTTGTTTGGATGGAATAACTTATCTGTGACCAGATTCAGAGCACCCAGATTATAACATGCCAACAAAGTGAGGTGATGACAGTGGACCCAACACAGAAGATCCAATGTTTGAAAACAGAGGTCTGTTGACTGAGTGCCCCTTGCCCGGAGATGTATGAGACTACCATAAAAGTGTCAGAGTGGAACATCACCAAAGAGCCCACAGGAAATGAAGGAAAGCCCAATGAACAACAAGAAGTTCTAAGATAATGATATGGAGAGAGGACTCGGAAAGAAACTATTGTCCCAAAACCTCCCGAGTGTTAAGATATACCACCCCAACTGGAAAGAGAAGCATCCATAAAAGGTGGCATTCCAGACGAGGAGGAGGAACTCCCATGGTAGTACTGTTGAGATCCACCTACTAGTCAAAGTCAGTCTCTAAGAGCGGGAGAAGGGTAAGAGGGGCATCTAAGGGATCCCGAACAAGGTTCCAAGTCTATCAAAAACCACTGATGATGACACATGATGGCATGACCAAGAGGAATGTGGGCTTCAAGAGATGCCCATGTCCTCAAAAAAGAGAGAACCTGTCACACAGTAGAAAAAGGAGATGTGATGTTGCATATGAGACATTCCATAGCTAGCAACTGAAGAGGAGCAAGTAGGGCCCAACGGAAGAGGAGGTTGAAAAACATCCCAAGATGAACCACAAAATTATGTCGGTGTGAGAAAAGACTGCTCCACTTTGATACACTATGATAAGGTCTTACAGAAAAACTTAGGATGTATGACCATACGTCCATATAACAGTGGAAATGAGGGCCACTAGAATGAATCAGGCAGGCAAATCACAGGGTCCCAAGAAGGAAGGAAGGAAACAGAATTGTGAGACAACAGGGAAGATGAATGGAAGTAGAGGGCCAGACTTACTGAAAAAACTTCCAGAACCCATGGATCCATTGCCAAGGACCTACAAACATGGGCAAATTCAGGGAGTCTGGCCTCCACCAGTCCTAACCTAAGA